TCGTGGCAATTTGCTGTGAGAAATCGTGCCGCCAGCTGTGCATCTCTGCAGAATATATCAGGGTTAAATGCTCTGGCTGTAGCGCGGTGGAGTGGGGGGGGGTGTCCAGCTCCATTCCTGCAGGTTGTAGAAGGGGCCTGACTTCACCCCCCCTGCTGTGGTGGGGGGAAAGAGGCATTAACTGATTGATCGCAGGTTTGAATTAAATATAAGTCTTTGGTCAACCAGCAGGATTAAATGTTAGCTTTTCGACCCAACTCTCCCAAACGACACGGCATTCCTTAGCGTTTTGCTGCTCTGCTTCTCAGGTTTGCTAACAGCTGCCCTGCAGGTGCACCATGAGGTCGAGTGGTGTTCTCAAGCTTCCATAAACTGTTGAGATTTGAAAGGTGAGATTTTGCGGCGCAGAAGCTTTAGTTTTGGAGCAGGTTTGGAGCATTCAGAGACACTCTGTTCTCTGATGGGGAACACGTTACTACTAACACGGTCGATACTAATCCGCAGATCTCTTTGAAAGCCGTTTGACTGATTTGCCCCGTCTGCATCAGATAAAAGGAAAGGTTTCATTTGCAATTCTCAGGAAGAAGAAAAAGAAAAAGCCAAACATGTGTTTTAGAGGAAAACGTCCAGAAATACGCATTCTTCGCATGATCGCACGCTTTGACGTGATACATCGCGATTAATAAAGAGACGGGGGTGGGAATTGATGGTAGGCTGTGGATAGTTTAACTGGAAACGGGGCTGAAGCAGCCCCTTCCCCTTGCTGGGGGCCCAGGTCCTGAGTGGTTAGTCCAGCCTGAGAGGATTGAAATGTGCTCACAAGGCTGCCGACTCTCAGCCGTAGCAGGAGGGACTTTTTTTTAAGCAGGCCATCCTTACTCTGCACAGGCCAGCCTGAAGTGGAGCGCTGGCGGCGGCAGTGTGCAGACAGCAGGCAATCCGTCGTTTTGGGCTCCTTTTGTTGCTTCAGACCACACAAATTTATGCCAAGGAGTTAGTGAAGCTGAAGGGGAACAACGGTTTAATGTTTCAGACTTTTTCTTTAAATTCTGCCATGAACTGTCATGTGTTCAGACTTTCTCTGTTGGGGTCTTTTGTTCTGCTTTTGGTTGTTTTATTATCTGATTTGTATTTTTCTTTCACTCTCAGCTGATCACTCGTCTGGTTTCCATGTTCTTAATTTGTTTTTGCCCTTCCAGGTTTCTGCATATTACACCTCTCCATTTTCACATTTTCCATCCATTTTGTTATAACTCCTAGAGGCAATTTCATGAGAGGGGGGCGGCTGGAATATCTGGAAGTCCAGACAGAAAGACCCCCAGCCGGGACTCAAACCGAGAATCCTCTTTTTCTGACCCTCCAGCCCTTGTTTTTCTTGGTTTTCACATTTCTGATCAGGGTTGAGTTAATCTTGGTACTTTTGGGTTTTTCTCCTTTAGCTCCTCCTCCAACCACACAGGAACATTTTTTTCAACCTGAAAAAGGTGGGATGGATACTTTATGAATTCCAGGACTGGACAGAGGAGATAACACAATGCTATGGGCTGAATTTAACCTGAGCTGGGAATTTTAAAGTTACTCATGAGTGCTTATTTGACCCTTTGTTAGCTGCTTTCAGGTCAAGGCAGTCTTGAGTATTTTACAAAAAGCTCCAAATCTCAAAAAGAGGGGGGAAAAAGTGGGGAAAAAAGGTAAAAAGTAAAAGAACCCCAAGCTTTGGCTCTCCTGTTTTTGGAGCAGCACATCTGGCTCGTACTGTCACATGATAATTTAGATCCAGTGGCTTTTTCACTCTAATATGACGGATCGGTCTAAAATCTTTTTGTTTTTCCTTAAAATGTAGAAAAAAAGATTAAATCAAAAGATGAACAAGGACTACAGAACACAAATGACAGCTCAATAGAGCAAAATGGCTCATAAAATGAAAGATTGGTGCATGAGTCTCTAATTGAACTCGTTCATCCAGCATCATGCCCAGAAATAATTACTTTCTCTTCAGGATTTGACTCCTGCTGCTGAGATAATACTAAAGCTGGCCTGTGACATCTGATTGGGGCTTCTTGTGTTACTGTGTTATGGATCCAAACCTGTCGGCTAAACTTGTGATTACAGAATACAGATTCATTTGGGATGGGACACCATTGTTCCTGAGGTGTTTCTAATGATCCTCTCTCGCTCTCTCTGTGCACTTCTGCCACTGAAGTCATCAGAGGTTCTTCTCATTGGAAAATAATGCTCTATGCTGCCAATGTAAATGAGGGTTTTGTTATATTTTTGACTGTGGAACGTTGTAAAGACTCCACTTTGAATATCACTGACAGTAACAATGGGTCTTATTGTTCTCTTCACAGCATTGAGATATCTGAAGTGATATAGGCGGATGTAGGCCGCCAGCATCCTCCCACTCTGCCTTTAGTTGAACATTATATGAATTTAAATCATGGAGAAAAGTCACGGGTCGCAGTTAAAGCTGCTGAGCAGCACAGAGGCTCCCACTGTGCCGTCTTTAAGCAGCTATTTCCTATATATTTGCTTGAGATTTCTGTTGAAACAAAGCGTTGTTTCTTTTTTTTTGTCCTTTGACAACGGAAGAGGGAAAAGAACCAAAAGGAACAAAGAGGCCCTGAAGTGGTCCCAGACTACAGACTACACTGTTGAATGCTCCTTATCCCACAGAAACGAGCAGTGGTTTTATCATTTACTGTATTTGAATAGTTGTTCCTTATCATGCCTAGCCGGCCGATCGACACACAGATTAACCCCCGCCGTGGGGCTTTCCAAGATTATTTGTTTCCCGGAGTAAGAACTTGGTTTGCACATAAAGGATGTGTAGACAGTTGAAATGCCTGCGTTAGTGTGTGTAATCATGTCCTGATTATGTTGCCCTGCAGCAGCTGAGGGACCCCGCCTGGTGGATTCAGTCTGGCTGGTGCACGTCATGCACACATTCCTTATCAGCAAATTTTGATTTAGTCACATCCGAGGAGCTGGTGCATCTCTCCTCATGTCTGGCTGGGTAAATGCAGCCTGCTTGAGGAAATAACTGGATGCTCTTTGAAAGGATTAATTACTGTTGTGGGGATACACGCTGCTAAGTTCACTACTGAAAGAGGCGGCTTTCAAGTTTTCCTACGCTGGGATTTTGTGTATAATAATAACATAATTGCTACTGAACGAATTTAATGGAGTATGAATGCAAAACAAGGCCACAGAGAGCACAGAGTGTTCTTATAAATGCCACCGGAGCCCCTCGGTGACTCGTCACCGCAGCGTTGCAGCGCAATAGGAACTCCAAATGCAGAATAAAGCTCCCATCTGAAACAAAAAGTCCTCGTTTACGCTCCATTACATCAAATAAAGATGCCGTTTCAAATACTTTGTCTTTGATTGAACGCAAAGATAGTTCATGATGTTCCAGTTGAAAACCCAGAAAGTGACGATGGAGTAATTTTGGTCTTTAAGATCATTTTGAAAGATATTCACAGTCTGTCCTTTCTGCTGAAGGCATTTTAATATTTTAAAGCAGAGTTTCAACACAGAACATTATGGAAAACAGCTCACAGCAGCTCATAGCAGCTCACAGCTGTGTCACATCTGTGTTACCTGGATCAGTTCAGTTACCTGGACTTTAAAATTCAGTAGCAAAGGATAAAAGCATTTCTTAAATGATTGTCTGGAAAAGAATTAACTGACTCTAATTGAATCAAACCAATTCAGCGTTTTGAAAACTTTTCAACACTTGATGATATTGAAATTGCTGCCACAAACTCTGTACATACTAATGAGGAGTCATTTTCCCAGTTTCCCTCAGCTGAATAAAAATATGGTTTTACACAGAGGAGTGAGGGAGCTTTGTCTAAAGCTCAGACAGAAAATCACGCAATCTGCTTCTTTTGGACTTCTTGCTGATAAAAGCTTGGATGCTCCTTTTCATCTTTGGCTCAAAGCAGCCAAACAGCATCTATTTGTTGTCATGGTGATCCTCAGAGCCTCGGAAAAGGCAGCTGGACTTCTTCTTGTTCTTCTTGGATCTTGAAGACGTTTCTCCTCTCACCCTAAAGGCTTCTTTAGTTCTGAACTACACCGTAGAGGGGGACAGCTTAGCCGGAACCCCCTGACCAATGAGAGTTAGAGTCCTTCTCACCTGCTGACTCTCTGAAGGGTGGGTTTGGCTCACAGGGTCCAGGCTTCATATGGCTGAAACCTCCTGGGAGGAAAGACAAAGCTGCGCCGTTAGCTGGGATGAAAAGCCTGCCCCCCCCTCCAATCAAAGATGGCTTCTCCCTCTCTCTTCTCTGTCCAGATGCGGACACCTCTGTCCTCTTCGTGGACAGCACCCGGCATACGGACCCACTCAGTTCGGGCTTCACTGTCTTTTGTACCGTTCCGTCGCTCTCTTTCTGGGCTTCAGATTCAACAGAAAATCTGCGGGGGTGCGATTGCTCGGCGGTGACATCATCCACAGGGCGACGGTGTTCATGCGATGCTGCGGCGTTGTGCGGCGGGGATCCCGGGAGCCGCGGGCCCAGAGCGGGCAGGGGGGAGCCTCTGAAACAAAGCCTGCTCTGCACTGCGAGGAGCTGCCACGGCAAACCAAAGAACTCTAATAAGCTGAGAGTTAAATTGTTGCCTAGTTGAGGATGTGGGAAATTATTATAGCAATGGGGACACTTTAGCTTTTTACTGCAAAGTAAAAAAAAAAATTTTTTAAGCCAGGAGCAGCTGAGTATTGTCATTTCTGTAATTTGGCATCACTGAGGGGAGTTGTATGACAACCACCAACCTGCTCCATAAAATACAGATGATTAGATTCAGTATTTGTCCGTATTCAGTATTTGCAAACATCATGAACTGCTGTGGGAGCACCATTTACTGCCTCCTTTCTGAGGCATGCTGCTGTCCAAAGCGGGCTGAAAGCCTCTGATCTCTTCTCTTAACAGCGGTTCCCGTCCTCTTTAGCTATTGTACTGGGCTGTGGTTTCTCCCCGGATCTCGTTAGTAGCACCTCTGGAGCTCGTTCAGGATGAGGCAGAGTCCCCAGGAGGCCGTATGCTAAACTCTTTTGCTCTGAATGTACTGTCATCTGCTTTGTGCCACTCACTCGCAATATGCTGCAAAAACTTACATTTCTGGCCAAACCATAACCCCGTGTCGCGGTACTTAATTCTTTCAAAATATATTCGGCGATTTCGATGGTCTCAGAGAGGTGAGATTTAACTGATTGGCGAGTTCAGTAGGCTGTTGCTAGCAGGGGCAGATGGTGACACTCCAGCTAGAAGAAATGTAAAAAAGTCAGATGACTACATGAATGAATAAACTAACTTATGCTTATAAAGCTGTTCATATGGCAGGAAACTATGTGACAAATGCCAGTTTCCCACATTTGTTGAATACAGAAGGTGTTTCCAGTTTTGGTCTCTTGTAACTTCCTTTTTCTCTGAAATAGAAGGTGCTGTTGCATTACAAGCTGGCATGCAGCAGAAGTGACGTTCTACAGAGTGTAGTGCAGGCCAGATGCTGCTTTTGTCAAAAGAATGGAAATGGAAGTCTGAAACTGGTATTTAGAGAGCATGCATGCATCAGAATACTCCATGTGGCAACACAGAGATTCACTTCCATGCTTGAGAGGATGCAATCCCAAAAGAAGAGTCAGTAAATAGTGAGGGCAGACTCTAAACTCTGTTTGGTAACAGTTATGTCCTGTTTCCTGTTTGGATCTCTTCAAAGTTTAAGCAACATGCAAGATTTTCTTCTCATCAAATGACTCGGCTGTTACTTGTCCAGTTTTAGCAGTTTCATAATCTCCTTAGCTGTTTTGTTAGGTTTTTGCAGCTCTACGGTGGCCCAGAAGTGTCAACAATAAGAGACAAAATGTGGGGCTTAACTCACATTATCTGCATATTTTATACATGTTGATATATTTGTTACAGATTTAAGAAACACATCTTTCCTAACTAAATGATTTCATTTGAATTCGTCAATTTTTTATCCAAATTTTACGGATAGGATAAAGGAAGTTTAATTTTTTCCTCAAAGTTTGTGAAGAATAATAATAATAATTTGTCATTAAAGTTTCACAAACGAGAATCTTTCCAAATGAGAGGATCCTTTTTATGAGTTTAGTTTCATCCAGATTTTAACTTTTTCTGGATGAGGAGATTTGATTGCATTTTCCAATCAAATCTCATCTACTTGATTTGTTGATTCCAGTCATTGTCCAGAAGCCTTATTAGATGCACCTTCATACAGAAAGCAAAGCGCAACCCAGACAAAACCTTCCAGATTTGTAACAAAGTTTTGCTGCAGCCGACGGTCAGATGTGTCATTATTTACCAAACAGCAGTCTTGGCTGCACGTTTGCCTTTGTGGAAAAGGGATTTTGGAAGGCAAACAAAAAATTAACGGGGAGGGAAAAGGGAGAGTGTGGGACTAATTAATGAGGGAGCAGCGGGCTTTGATAAGGGTGCTGTTTTGAGCTGGCGTGCTCCTGAAAGCTCTCTGTTTAGCGGCTGCTGCCGGTTGTTGCCAGATCGCCTGGGGACACTACAGCTTTTGATCTGTGCGAGTAAAATCCAGCTATTCCTGAGTCAGAAGTCAACCAGAGCTCTGACGGACTCAGATTTCCGTGTCGCCCTCGGGGCTCTCAGGTTGTGGTTTTGGCCCCCTCCCGCCGCTCAGAGGAAGCAGTGACCTGTCCTAGCCTCAGTTTGTCTTTGAAACGGTCGGCCAATCGCACGGAGCTGGGCAGGCTGACGCCCGGGCTCCATGTCTGGCTCCGGGTTAGCTGCGTCCGGGTTTTCCTGGGACGTTTTCTCTCTACATTCATTCGCCCATCCTTCTCATCCATGCTGATGCCTGTTTTACCGTCTGTCTTTTGCCAGGTCGGGCCAGTCTGCACGGCAAGTCCTCCCTGCGGATAGAGAACGTGCGCTCAGACGACCAAGGCTGGTACGAGTGTAAAGTTCTGATGTTGGAGCAGCAGTATGACACCTTCCACAACGGCAGCTGGGTGCATCTAACCGTCAATGGTAGGAACCTTCCGCCGTGGAACAGAAAGAGCCGGGAGGCGGCATTTTCAGGGGGCGCATTACCAGATAGGCCACAAGGATGGTTAAGAAAAGGAGCCGACAGGGCAAAATAGACAAATGAGACAAAGGTAGAGTGAAAAAAGCTGCAAAATAACAACACATGCATAACAACTGGGGGTAAACTACAAAGAGACCAAAAAACGACTGTAAAAAGCCGCAAACAAACCAAAGCAGCTGCAGAGATGCACAAAAGCAAAGTACCACACAGTCACTCAACAACCCCCCCACCGAGGACACCAAACAGAAAAGAGACTCAGATGTTTGCTGAGAGAATAAATGAGTCCCATCTGGCCCAGATTAGTTTCTAAAACTCTGGGAAGGGTTAGACCAAACTGAACAATAATGGGCTTTATACATAAGAGACACTTTAATGGTTGTCACCAAAACTCATTAAAACTCTCAGGAAAGGACATTTGGTCGCAGACACAGAGAAGTTTGCACAATAAGGTGCAAAACTGTGAAAAGATAAAAAAACTAAATGGATTATTTATTTGAATCAGATTGGCTATTGTATTTAAAGGTTATTTTAGAGCCACAAATAAGAAGTTTTGCTCAAAACCTTCCTGATGGAAGCTTACATAGCTGCTATTCAAAGCTCCGGCTTACAATCACTTTATGGGCTGTTTATTGGAAGCTAAACAAAAGACCTGCAGGCTTTGGTGTTAAAGGGTTAAAGCTCACATTTGGGTTGTCAAACCTTTATTTAAACTCACAATTAAGCTTTCTTCATCAACTGTGTTTTTTGTTAAAAGTATGATTAATTGCAAAGCCTCTGATTAATGCCACAACTAATGCTTTGATTTAGGTCTTAAAAAATCTTGTTGGGTTGTTTTTTTTATGAATCCTGATGACGCACACGTCTTAAAAGTCCTGAAATGAATTATGTTTGTACATTTAAAATAAAAAAAATGTGACTACTTTCTAAAACGTTTCTGGTAGAATCAGGACATATAAGCAGTTTTATTTAGTCAATTTTTACGGGTTTGACTGCGTTTTTTTCGGGACTTTTAGGGAATCAGTCAACGGTCCCTCTGAGCAGATGTGCAGATGTGCTGTTTCCTTCAGTGTTTTTAGTCGGGAGCACCAGGCTCACACCTCTGGAAACTGGAAACAGGGAAAACCCAGCAATACTCCTGCCTTCTCTGGGAAGCTCAAGCATTCATCATCTCTTAATCAGACAGTATGTGATGATGCTTGTTGCCGTGGTAACCGACACCAGATACGGCTCCGCGCGCTCCGCCGACCCCCACCCTCGTGGTCACGGCCCATTAGCTCAGCTTCGTGGGCTTCGCCGCTCCTCCCCTGCTCCTGCCGGGCTCCCCCAGACGAGCCAGGGGGCATCGGCCTTCCTCCCCCCCAAACAGAGGCAAGCCTCAGCTCTCCGGACACAGGAGGCAGTCGGCCTGCGGCTGTGCACAGCCATTTAAACCAAAACTCTAACATTTCCACCAGATTTGGTCTCACCAGCTGATCCAAACGCCCCATGAGCAGCTTTATGGGGTATTTATCCAATCCCAAGTATCATCCCGGTTCAGGTCTGGGAGGGAAGTCTTTTTGATGTTTTGTAGAAAATATACTTTTTCCACCTAAAGAAAATAAAGAAAAGGCGTTTTTTTCTTTTTTCTTTTTTCTTTTTTATTTATTTACTGCTGTAGCTGACGGTCAGTAAAAAACAGAAATCCATATTATGGATCCTCCGCAATTAAATTTATGTGACAATTATTGTGTTTAACGATTTAATCTGCACCTTTTGAGTATTTGGTCGCGGCCATTTGCTCTAAATACATATCTTCCTTTTGAAGGATGCTAATGAAATAATGAGAGCTTCATCCTTATGTGCATTATCCACGCCTGCTTTTTTATTTGTTTCTTCAAAGAGAGCTAACTGACCTGAATCACTGGGCTGCTCCTCCTTCCTCAGCGCTGCTTTAAAGATAATCAGGTGGGGAAAAATAGTCCTAAGTGGAGGGAAGCGCTGCGCAAAGCCTGTTAGGGGCACCGAGAGGAGCTGTGATTAATTTTGAGCTATAGCGGCTTCACATCCAGGTCAGATCTCTCTCACACATGAGAGTAAATGATGTAAACAAACAAACATCGAAGAAAGAGCAGGGATAAACGTCCTTGTGCTCCGCTGACTTTAAAACTATTCATGTTGCTGTAGGAAAGTCCTGTACTGCTTCCACTCATCAGGAGCAGGCGGCCACGGTGTAACAGTGAAATGAGGCACGTTTGCCTCATTATTAATTAACCAGCTGCTTTTTTCTTCGCTTATCCAAACATTTAGGTTATTAAATGTTAATTATATCATTAAAGACAGCACATTATTGAATAGTGTTGCATTATAAATCAAAGACTCCACACACACATGTGATTGGTGATCTTCAGTTGGCCAGATTAGACTGATTGGACTGAACAGCATCAGAGTGCCTTAACATAGTGTTTCCCTGCTTCGTCCTGGTAAAAATCTGCATCACCTTTTTCCTCTTTTGGTACTTACTTTATGCTGCTGTGGCTTCAAATTTCTGAAAATACTCAAATTTAGACGCTCTTGTAACTGGAATTCCATCGATATGTCGATCACTTTGGTGGAAACAAAACTTTGAGAGCACTGCATTGTCCATCTTTTTGTATGAACGGTAGTTTGAAGGTTGAAGCCAGAGGCCTCATGACCCCCCAACAGTCAGCAGGCAGTGAGTCAGACCTGTTTAGTGTCATGTCTGTGCAGATTCTCAGTCATCCAGCTCATCATCAGTCTGAGTTAAGGCAGCTGGACCTCTTCTTATTTGGGGACCTCGCTTCTCCTCTCACCCTGAAGGCTTCTCCAGTTCTAAACGACATGGTGGGGAGGACCAGCTTTAAGCAAAGACGGGGGGGGGGGGGGGGGGGGGGGGGCGGTAACAGTCTGAAGCCGTTTACTCAGCCTCTAAGGATCTGTAGTGGTGCAGCCACTCAAACTTCCCATGCACACCTTTGAGTTTATGTGAGTATGCTGAATAATTTAGAGCGTGTGGGCTCAGGTTGAACCCAAAAACGACCACAAACCGCAGATCATCTCTCAGGGGTGATGTTGAAAAGAGGGAAAATGTCCTCCCTCCTGTATCATAACCGCCTTTTAAAAGATGGCAAAAACTATTGGGAGGAACACTGAAATAAGCCCTCAGGCTCAATGCCCTGCTTCTATTAATAGCCCCTCGTTTGCACTCCACCCCCCCTGTCATTGTCAAACAGCAGTGCTTGTCAGTGATTACACTGAACACCTAATCTTTCAGCCCTTTTTTGGCACTGAAAGGTAAGTGCTGCATACAGATCTGTGGTTGGACGATGCTCTGCCTCTTGGCCGTGGGCTTCCCGTGTTCAGAGTGGCGGCTTGTGGCTCTGGCGGAGCTTCCCAGGCCGCCGCTGTCACTGCAAACACCGCATTGTGTTTGGAAGAAGGATGCAGCTCGCGCCAGGGAACCGTCCAGCTGCGGCTCCTCTTGCCTCCCTGTTATAAATGTGGGTTTGAGCTGGCCCAAAGCCAGTGCAGGACTCCGTCTTCAATGAAACGGCTCAGGATGCTGCCGTTGCTTCGCTTGAAGGCAACAGACCTCGATCCAGCAGGAGGCGGTGCCAAACACTCAGGGGGGTTTGGTCCTCGGCAGCCTCCCCTAAAATAGCTCCCGGACACGGTGGTGCGCTCCCCCCGGGCTCTGCAGCAGACCTCTGCAGTGCCTGCGTGCTGCACAGCTCCGTCCTCCCACTTCACCCTCACTGGGTCTTTCCCCTCCACCATGTTCCCCCTTAGCTCCCATAATCCACCAGCGGACTGTTGATGTCGCCGGAGGCTGCGGAGCGGCTGAGCAGGTCAGCCGCACTCGGCCCCATCGCAGTAATCGCCTGCTTCGCATCTCATTTGGAGCCGAGAACGACCCCCGATGGGTTTTCAGAGCAGAGCTTTATGTACTGACACACCACCGAGCCTCGAGTTTCTCTGAAGAGTTGATCACACTCTGGCTGTTTTTGATCATTTTGCTCTGTTCTCCTATCTGACCTGGTCAGCGGATCAGATATTGTTAGTCCTGCCAAAGACGAAGAGAAAACCTGTTACCTTCAGGCCGACTAGCTCTGTAAAAATTCATCTGCTTTTGACTCAGTTTGAGGCTTTTGCAGTGACTTAGTCCTGTTGTTTGTGTTCAATGTTTTAGGGTTTTAATCACTTTTAAAGCGCTATCAAAATGAATGGAAGCTTGGGGAGGAGGTATTTTCTGGTGATTTGTGGTTGTTTTATCATCTTTGTTTGTTGTGTCCTCACTTCAGTTTCTAGGTTTCTTGCCTCCTGTGGCTCAGATCTAGTTCAGAGTTTCCTGTTTTATTGCTGCCTATTTTCTCCTGTCTCTGTCCTTTTGTGTCTCCTCCTCCATCTTTCCTTCTCTTCCCCTCGGCTGTACTTTGGCTGGTCTTCAGCTCCTCTTCCCTCACCTGTGCTCCGCTGCCTTCGGCCCGGTTTTTTCATGTGTCCCCTTTGAGATACATTTCCACTCTTACCCTCGTTTTGCTCGGAAACACAAAAACTGCAACCAGCCCAAACCCAGACTGTGACACCAGCTCACAGTTTCCGCTCAGTTTCCCGGGTCTTGATCCATCATTCCTTATACTTTACCATCTTTTTTCTGGATCACCGTGTGCTTGAATGCACCGGCAGGCAGAGCTGGGGAAATAGTTCCTCCCTCCTCACGGCTACAGACCACATGACAGCTCTCATTTGTAGACACCAGAGTCTGAATGAATGGAAATCTGACATGATATGGACATTGCAACCCATTAGTCAAGTCTTTATAGATATAGATAGACCTGTAAGAGGTTGTAGATGTAAAAGGTGACAGATCAAAGCCTGGGAAAGTAAAGCTGTATCAGGGATAGCTGGACATGGAGCGATCATAAGCCCGTTTAAGGAATGTGGGTGTATTTGGTGGTGTTCGTCCCCGCATTGCTGTGGATTAGAGATGAGGGCATGACCCCAGAGTCATCACATTAAGGTGGTCCGAGTGCTGAGGTGTCTTTTATGAGTTATGGGGCTTTATGCTGTGCGGCCCGGCCGGATCCGAGGCGTGGAATTAGCACTACGTCCTGCTTGGTGGCTGCAGATGGAAGGACGTGTTAGCGCGGGAGAGGCCACAGGATTAGATGTGTAAGCAGATCAGCATCAGTCCTAAGTTGATTAGATCGAGAATTGAATGTTGCTGGGAATTATGTCGGAGCAAAATCTGCACTGAATCAGTGACAGCGTTATAAAGACGCACGTGCAAACAGGATGGAGGAGGCATGAGATAAACGGGCCGGGGAGGGGGGGCGGCTTTAAGGAAAGAAACTCCAGTTGTCCTTTACGATCATACGTCCACGATAACAAACGGCTAAAGAGGATTTGATCTGGTTTCACCCCAAAATGATCCCAGGCAGAGCTGTGCGTTTCCTTGTTTTCAGAGAAAATAAAAACATTGTTGGAAGTGATCAAGCATCCAAAATAAGCAGTGTCACCTCTCTTTAAAAGGCACAAAATTAGAAATAAAAAACTACTTTTTTATTCTTTTATTTCTTTTTCCATCAAAGATAATCCTGACTCAGCACTTTGTGGCTCTAATCTTCCTGCTCTACCAGCTTTGTACACCTGGATTTGGGATTTGATCCCATTCGTTGGTGCCGATGCCTTAAAGCTCCGGCGGCTTCATCCATCCATCCATCCATTCTCCTCCGCTTATCCGGGGTCGGGTCGCGGGGGCAGCAGCCGGAGCAGGGAAATCCAGACTTCCCTCTCCCCGGCCACTTCGGCCAGCTCCTCCGGGGGGATCCCGAGGCGTTCCCAGGCCAGCCGGGACACATAGTCCCTCCAGCGGGTCCTGGGTCTTCCTCTGGGCCTTCTCCCGGTGGGACGAGCCCGGAACACCTCCCCAGGGAGGCGACCAGGAGGCATCCTGAACAGATGCCCGAGCCACCTCAACTGGCTCCTCTCCACGTGGAGGAGCAGCGGCTCTACTCCGAGCCCCTCCCGGATGGCCGAGCTTCTCACCCTATCTCTAAGGGAGAGCCCAGCCACCCTGCGGAGGAAACTCATTTCGGCCGCTTGTATCCGCGATCTCGTTCTTTCGGTCACTACCCAAAGCTCGTGACCATAGACGAGGGTGGGAACGTAGATCGACCGATAAATTGAGAGCTTCGCCTTTAGGCTCAGCTCTCTCTTCATCACGACAGACCGGTACAGCGCCCGCATTACTGCAGACGCCGCACCGATCCGCCTATCGATCTCACGCTCCCTCCCCCCATTCGCAAACAAGACCCCGAGATACTTGAACTCCTCCACTTGGGGAAGGACGTCCGCTCCGACCCGGAGAAGGCACTCTACCCTTTTCCGGTGAGAGACCATGGTCTCGGACTTGGAGGCACTGATCCTCATCCCAGCCGCTTCGCACTCGGCTGCGAACCGCTCCAGTGAGAGCTGTAGGTCCCGACTTGATGGAGCCAACAGGACCACATCATCTGCAAAAAGCAGAGATGCGATCCTAAGGCCACCAAGACTGACACCCTCAACACCTCGGCTGCGCCTAGAAATCCTGTCCATAAAAGTTATGAACAGGACCGGAGACATAGGGCAACCTTGGCGGAGTCCAACTCCCACCGGAAACGAGTCCGACTTACTACCGGCAATGCGAACCAGACTCTGGCTCCGGTCGTACAGGGACCTAACAGCCCGTAACAAGGGGCCAGGTACCCCATACTCCCGGAGCACCCCCCACAGGATACCCCGAGGGACACGGTCGAACGCCTTCTCCAAGTCCACAAAACACATGTGGACTGGTTGAGCGAACTCCCATGCACCCTCTAGGACCCCGCTGAGGGTATAGAGCTGGTCCAGCGTTCCACGGCCAGGACGAAAACCACCCTGCTCCTCCTCGATCCGAGGCTCGACTATCCGACGGACCCTCCTCTCCAGAACCGCTGAATAGACCTTCCCAGGGAGGCTTAAGAGTGTGATCCCCCTATAGTTGGAACACACCCTTCGGTCCCCCTTTTTAAATAGGGGGACCACCACCCCAGTCTGCCAATCCAGCGGGACTGCCCCTGATGTCCACGCGATGTTGCAGAGTCGCGTTAGCCAACGCAGCCCCACAACATCCAAAGCCTTAAGGAACTCCGGCCGGATCTCATCCACCCCCGGGGCCTTGCCACCGCGGAGCTTTTTGACTGCCTCGGTGACTTCAGCCCCGGAGATTAGAGATCCTAACTCCGGATCCCCAGGCTCTGCCCCTCCAACGGAGGACGCGCCAGTGGGATTGAGGAGGTCCTCGAAGTACTCCGCCCACCGACCCACAACGTCACGAGTTGAGGTCAACAGCACACCATCCCCACTGTAAACAGTGTTGGTGGGGCACTGCTTCCCCCCCCTGAGACGCCGGATGGTGGACCAGAATCGCCTCGAGGCCGTACGGAAGTCTTTTTCCATGGCCTCCCCAAACTCCTCCCACGCCCGGGTTTTTGCCTCGGCGACCACCCGAGCCGCACGTCGCTTGGACTGCCGGTACCCATCGGCTGCCTCCGGAGTCCCACAGGCCAAAAAGGCCCGATAGGACTCCTTCTTCAGCCTGACGGCATCCCTCACCGCCGGTGTCCACCAGCGGGTTCGAGGGTTGCCGCCACGACAGGCACCGACAGCCCTGCGACCGCAGCTCTGGGAGGCCGCGTCATTGATGGAGGCGCGGAACACGGCCCACTCGGACTCAATGTCCCCCGCCTCCCCCGGAACGTGTTCGAAGCTCTCCCGGAGGTGGGAGTTAAAGCTCCGCCTAACAGGGGACTCCGCCAGGCGCTCCCAGCAGACCCTCACAACACGTTTGGGCCTCCCGGGTCTCACCGGCATCCTCCCCCGCCATCGGAGCCAACTCACCACCAGGTAGTGGTCGGTGGAAAGCTCCGCCCCCCTCTTGACCCGAGTGTCCAAAACATGCGGCCGCAGATCAGCTGAAACGACAACAAAGTCGATCATTGAACTGCGGCCTAGAGTGTCCTGGTGCCAGGTGCACATATGGACACTCTTATGTTTGAACATGGTGTTCGTTATGGACAATCCGTGCCGAGCACAGAAGTCCAAAAACAGAACACCGCTCGGGTTCAAGCTGGGGGGGGCCATTCCTCCCAACCACGCCCCTCCAGGTCCCACTGTCGTTGCCCACGTGAGCGTTGAAGTCCCCCAGCAAAACGAGGGAGTCCCCAGGGGGGGCACCCTCCAGTACCCCCTCTAAGGACTCCAAAAAGGGTGGGTACTCTGTGCTGCCGCTAGGCGCATAGGCACAAACGACAGTCAGGACCCGTCCCCCCACCCGAAGGCGAAGGGATGCTACCCTCTCGCTCACTGGGGTAAACCCCAACGTACAGGCACCGAGATGGGGGGCAATGAGTATGCCCACTCCTGCTCGGCGCCTCTCACCGGGGGCAACTCCAGAGTAGCAAAGCGTCCAACCCCTCTCAAGAAGGCTGGTTCCAGAGCCAGAGCTGTGTGTCGAGGCGAGACCGACGATGTCCAGCCGGAATCTCTCCGCCTCGCACACTAACTCAGGCTCCTTCCCCGCCAGAGAGGTGACGTTCCACGTCCCTAGAGCCAGCTTCTGCAGCCGGGGATCAGTCCGCCAAGATCCCCGACTCCGGCCGCCGCCCAGGGCACAGCGCACCCGACCCCTATGGCCCCTCCCACGGGTGGTGGGCCCGTGCGAAGGGGGACCCATGTCTCCTCTTCGGGCTGGGCCCGGCCGGGCCCCATGGGTGAAGGCCCGGCCACCAGGCGCTCGCCATGGTGCCCCACCCCTGGGCCTGGCTCCAGGGGGGGGCCCCGGTAGCCCGCGCCCGGGCGAGGGTACACGAAGTCCATTTTCCTTTTTCATCATAAGGGGTCTTCTGGGCTGCGCTTCGTCTGATCCCTCACCTAGGACCTGTTTGCCTTGGGTGACCCTACCAGGGGCTTGAAGCCCCGGACAACATAGCTCCTAGGATCACTGGGACACTCAAACCCCTCCACCACGATAAGGTGGCAGCCCAGGGAGGGGCTGCCACCTTATCGTGGTGAGCCCCTCCGGCGGCTTCTTTTGTAAATTCCCTTCTTGGAGTTAAGGGCTGCAGGCTTTACTTGTGGGCTCCTGCAGGATTCCTCAGCGCCAGTACAGCAGAGTTAATTCTGTGAGGTGGGGCCGCTGTGCAGTGCACGCCGTGCACACCCAAAACGCTGTTTGACTAATTTCCATTTGGGTTTTTAAAGAGAATTAGCAGCTTCTGTTCTTTTTTACCCAATTCAGCTGTGTTTCACTGAGTTCAGGTTATTGAACTTGTTCTCCAATCCCGCGCTTTCATTGGCTGTGGCTTCTTTGAAAATCTGCTGCTTCTTGCTGCTCGTCCTGTCTCTGTGATTTATTCCTCTGAAGGTTTTGTTCTTTTTTTTCTGTCCTGTATTTCTCCCTTGTCCTGGACTCCCCAGCCCCCCCCACATTCACAGACACACCACCTCAGTACGTCGAGGCCAAGGAAGGGGGGGGCATCACTTTGACTTGCATGGCCTTTGGAAACCCGAAACCCTCTGTCAGCTGGCTGCGGGAAGGCAGCCTGATGGTCAGCAGTGCCAAGTATAAGGTATTTTCTCTATATTTCTCCTCCTGTCAGCTCTGTCCATTAAGAAAGACAACAGTTTATTTTCAGTCCGGCTGGTTAAAAAATGACCACATTACACAGATATTACTGAGCAAGAACTGGGATGCCAATCCAGTCCATATAGAAAACGTTTGTTTGTTTGTTGATATGGTGCGTTCAGGTTTCTGATGGGAGTTTGACGGTTTCATCCATCACCCGGGAAGATCGTGGGGCCTACACGTGCCGGGCCTTTAGCCCCCAGGGGGAGGCCGTCCATACAACACGGCTGCTAGTACAAGGTAGGATCATTTAATCTGCTTTAAATTAACTTTTTATTTTACACCATCTGTTATTGGATTTCAATGTTTTCACTATGTTATGAACATTCTTATCTTACTCTGACATTTGTGAGAAGTTTCACAGCTTTTGTGGACTCTGTCTCTATACACACAATGTTTATATATATATATATATATATATATATGGCTGATTTACTGATGAATGAAGGCTTTTGCAGTCCTGATGAACTCTAGTCTTTGTAGAAGTGTGTGAACACCAAAGGGACATTCTTCCATGACTGCCTGAGCTCAGCCCTGCTGACCACTGAGTCGGGGCTTTAAAATGGAGAAAGACAAACAGTCAGATGAGCGTAAACGTATGCACTTCTATCAGCCGGTCCTCTTTACAGCTGATGAGCAGGAATAAATACTGTGGCTTGTGAATGCACCACTGTGGGTGAGCTGGGAGCCGTATAAGCAGGTGGACTTTGGATGGGCCTCTAATTGCCAATCACGTTGTCTCCCCTCATCCTCTTTAAAATACAGCAGTCAGTTTAGTGAGCGGCGGCTGGAGGAGGCTTTTATGGAGGAAACCGCTCCCGGAGGTGCCGAGCAGCACAACAAATCTAAAGTATTACAAATACTGCTTTAAAATGCACCGCATGTTTAAAGAGGCTCTCCTTTTTGTCTTTTACAAATATCAAGCTGATATAAAAGATAAAAACATTGTTTTGCTGTTATTCTGCTTCAGATGCATTACGACCGCCACACACATGCACATTCAAACTGTTATGAATGTTAACATCCCTCAGAGTGCAAGTCTCTAATATTAAAATGATCCATTTTCTAAGAAAGAGGGCTATAACGATTGGATTGTCGCATTGTAACATTATGATGGCAGTAAAAGAAGAGCAATTCACAGCACCGGTGAGTAGAGAAATCATGGAGACTGGAAAAAGGTACAGCGACCTATCGACAGTATGACAATAGGATCTGGTAAAGAGTGACATGAACGAGAAGCTTTTGTAAAGGAGAGTGTGACCAGTGAAATGGAAGCAGGCACAGGGAGTAGGGTGATGACGGGCAAAAAGGAGAGACCCGAGGGAAGTGAAGCAATGAGAGCCACAAGGGGAGACAGGAAGACAAGAAAGACGCCAAAATAAAAGCAGAGGAACACAAAACCTAAATCACTAAACCTAAAACATGAACCATGACAACATCTCTGCTCTGCCGGCCTTTGATGTAAAGGAAGTCCAGCTGGATCATGACCTGACCTTGTGTGAACTCTGAGGCTCAGTCTTTTTCAATGACCTCAGATCAGATTTCATCCTCTCATTCAACAAAGCAGCACGTTTGGGTCAATCAGCAGTCTTAAGAGTCAAATTTTACGCTGTATTTGTTTTATAGCTAAACGCAAGTGCAGGTTTGTGCACGTGTCTTGCATTATTATTGTTTGAGATTAGTCCTGAGGGGGACATGGTCCAATCTAAGGTCCCTGGTGTCATTCACAGTATGCGTTTCCTGACTGTTATACATTCCACAAAGATTAACAGTTTATATGCTGGTCGTTAGTTGCTTTTATTCAGTAGAACAGACGCTGGACTTGCTTGCAGAGAGGACGTATTTCTTGTAGCGGCTGAGCACAAAGCCAGGGCCGAGCCAGAGACTGTCCTGTATAATTTACGGGAAAGACGGATTAATAGACGCCCTCCTGGAAAGCCATTGAGCAGCAGATCAGCTAAAAGACCACAGTGCCAACAAATCTCCAGCACTCAGAGTTGCCACTCACGCACACACACACACACACACACCCACACACACATTGACTCAACTGCAACATAGCCGTCCAGCACAGGCCAGTCCTGTAAGTCCTGCTAAGGGGCTGGCAGATGGAAACGCCTGCTCGTTAAAGGATCGGCCCATGGGCGACTAATCAGAACGAACATATGGGACTAACAGTTTATAGCTGCAGCACTGACTCAACTGCACTGTGTGTGTTGATTGCTGCAAATGTTCATAACATTATTTTGAATCTGTCGTTGCATAAACCAAAGTTGTGAACAGTTTGGAAATTCATGCATTACAGTGTGTATAAACATGAGAAAACATCATTTAAAACAGCTTAGCTGGCAGATATAGACCCTGTGTGTGTATTTTAAGTGTAGGGTGCAGAATTACTCAAGAAAAAGTACCTCTATCTCTAGGTTGGAAATGTCCCACGAAGATAAGGCAAAAAAAGGAAACCTACTCTATATATTAAAAAGAAATTCCTTAACTCAAAGCAACAGTTTGTTGATTAGTCTTAATGTGATAAAAGGTGCTAAATAGCTATCTATGGATGAGTGTGGAATATAAGTCAGACCCAAAGAACAGGTCAGGCCGAGTTGAAGGAAAGCAAACTTATTTATTTAAAAGAAATTAAATTAAGTAGACAAGGACCTGAACTTTGAACAAACATAAACTGGAAAGGTAGTTAGGAAAGGATCTGGCAATGACTGAGGAAAGCCAGGCGGCTTAAATACTGTGGAGAGAGTGATTAACGAATGAATGCAGCCGAGGATAATCGACACAGATGAAGGCAGTGGGGCTGATAACGAGACAGGAGGGAATGTGAGGAGGCTTTGGGGGGAAACCAGAACAGGTGGGAACTGGAGACACATTGGAACAAAGACCAGAACCATCCAGCCATTGTCCATGGAGAGGCCCCTCGTCCACCACAGAACAACGCAGAAACGAATGAGACATACAGTAGTGCACCCTCATTTTTATCTCAGAAGGCCCACGGCCAAGACCCGAACCAAAAGATTAACATGATCATACCACAAACACAGCAAAAAGTAAAAAAAACAACACAAAAACCCATTACTCCATCAAACTAGCTGAGCGAGTCCCACTACCAACCATTTGACTGGCTATTTAAAAGGTTAAAAACCTACTCTAGGTTACAAACACCACATTTAGTATTTTTAGGAAGCATGAACTATTTAACAGAAAATAAAACAAGTCAGATTTCATTGGCACCAAAGAAAGGACCAATTGTTAGTTTGACTTTTGCAGTTCTGGAGACCATTCTGATGGCTGATGGAGGTAATAGAACAATGTTTAAATATTAACACCTTTTCAGTTGATTTGGCCCTTTAAACCTTTTACAATTTTACAAAATTCAGCATAAACTCCAACCTTATGCTCCTTTGTGGACAAAATAGAAATGAGGCATCTCAGGTCATACAAACAGCATCTTTTTCTTTAAGCTCAAACATGTTAAAAGGTTGAGTGTTGCTGTTTGATAAATACAAGCAGGAGGTGCGTGATAAGTGGTTGAAAGCTGAGGAAAAGTGCTTTTGAGGCAAACTCGGCGTGGTTAAAGCAGAGGGTGAAAGCGAATGCAAATCGTGGTATAAATATATATCCCTGTGTGCAAGGAGGATGATCCATCTGGCAAAGCTAGGATCATTCCACAAATTCTCATAATCTGTTACAGAGTGCTAAGTAAGTATGTGATATGGCTCTGAGCTCTGACATGGCATTAATAGTAATTCAGGGTGTTTTTTTATAAACTTGCCGTGAATATTTCTGAAATGTGACACTTGCTGTGCAGAAATCTTGGAGATTTTTATAGATCATTAATTTGCTTGGAAAATATTTCTTTACATTTTCCCTTTTTAAAAAATGATATTCTAAAGTGCCTCAGTTCCTCATCCTCATGTACCCGATCATTTTCAGACGAAAGTTTAACGTAACTCAAGGGATGAATCAGTTTAGTTGACGTGGTGTGCTGTGCTGTGTGTCCTTAAACTGGACGAGTGGAGGACAAAAGAAGAGCTGGGCCTAAAAAACTATCTCCAGCACATGAAGAAGATCTGAAAGTGATGTCCTTAAGAAAGAGGAACAGACCCAGCAAAGAGCGGAACAGGAGCTGAGAGCTTTATCTGGACCTCCAGCTGATCACCTCCTGTCGGCCGACGCCTCATCAGAAATGCTCTCCATGCAATCGGGGCTTTCAAGAAGCCATTCTGAAGGAAGGAAACAGAGAAGAAAGGCTGAGCTCTGCCAGAAGACACCAGAAGTGGACTGAAAACCAGTGGCAGCAGCTCTGATGGAGGGATGAATCCTCCCCAGAGCCTGGAGCTCTACAAAGGAGCTCAGAGAAAATATCAACTGCATGTTTGACATAATTGTACAAACTTTGATTCCGCCTTAGATACTATTCTAGTATTTCCGCTTGCATGTGGATGCGATTTAATAAGTTACGTTCCTGCATCTAACTCCCATTTTTCTAAGAATATAGAGTAGAAAAAAAGGTTTTAATGGACTCTAAATGTTTCCATGGTAATGAATTCATTTGGAAGATAAGTTAAGAGGAGGATTTGTTTCATACTTTTGTACTTCTCCCACTCAAAGCCCAACTTACAGCATAACATCTTACATAAAAGATGGATTTCTTGCACGCTTGTTTTGTTCAGCGCAAATTCACTCCTGTTTTCATCTTCCTTGGTTTTCAGCTGTCACTCTGAGCGCATTGCAGAGGTGTTCACCTTCAAACAGTAGAAAGAGCCAACAGAATAACCAAATCCTCCTTTAAACTAAGCAATGCAAAACAGTCCTCTCTCAGCTATTATCCCCTCAGAAATTCTTCCCATCCACCATAGCAATTTGAATATCTGCTCATCTCTTTCGTGATGAATATTCACCGTGGTCATTGATCTGTGGTTTGGCAGCTGTTTCCGAGGTGACATTTAGTCATTTTCTCATCGTGTGAGAGCATCCAGTCTGTCTGTTACGCCGCGGTCCTCCTGGTGGGACCTCTCCCCTCCCAAGCCCACCCACCATTTCATGCTTTCCATTCGTTAGCAGCATTTCAGTACCTGATGAGTGACCCCTAATTACTTTTTTCAGACCTGCGCACTTAAACACGGGTCACATTTTCCTTCTTTTAGCATCTGTAAACCGCTTATTAAAGACATCATGTTATTGATGAGATAAAAGATTGAATAAACATCAGCGTTTTGTTTTCTCACCCTCGCCAAATAGAAATGGCCGCCCATCGCCTCACCCTGTGTGTCTCCTCTTATCAGTGAAATACATTCTCACAGAAATTCCTCTTCGTTGCTGTATTCTTGGCAGCTCTGTGACTCCACAGCTTGTGAATCAGCCTAAGGTCCCTTTTGTCCGTCTGAGGGTTGTGTGTGTGTTCCCCTGCAGGCCCTCCGTTCATCGTTTCGCCGCCAGAGAACATAACGGTGAACATCTCGCAGGATGCCTTCTTTACCTGCCAGGCGGAGGCCTATCCTCGCAACCTGACCTACACCTGGTTCTGGGAGGAGGACAACGTCTTCTTCAAGAAGTAAAGTTATGATCGAACACATGTTTGTCCATTTTACGCAGTTTAAGATCAGTCACTTCAAAGCTGCTGGATGGGCACAAACCCTGCTTATAAACACCATTAAACCAGGCAAAAGGGAGAATAAAAGACCATCAGCATCTAGAGTAAACATTTTTGTGGGGTGGTATCTCCATCTTTAGATGGAAAATCTACACTCAATGTTGATCTTGCTGGTTGTTATAACCCACCTTAAAGCGGGGATCTTAGACTCTGGTCCTCATTCACATCCGTGCACTGTTCACAGAGGTCCATTCAATCCCGATCAGCTGTGCTGAACCACCAAAGCATCAAAAACATGCAGAAAAACCTGCGGGACCACAGCCCTCGAGGCCCAGAGTTTGAGATCCCTCATTGAGAGTCTAAACAAGGGTCATAGTTACTGTGTTTAGTTCTTTTATCTCAGTGCTTTTTGTGAGACATCATTTATTCAACCTTCATTTAACCGAAGAGGAGCAACTAGAGATTAAAAATATGTTTTTTCTGCCTTAACATCTCAGGCTTACATAAATACTGAAAAAAAAAGTCAACATGCTTATTGTGTCCAATAAAACATAATGAAACTATGAATCAGTAAAATGTATAAAACATTAAAAGTGGAATAAAAGGCGTAAAACCGACTGCAAGCCGATGATATGACTAAAAATGTGTTAATGTTTCAGTTAATTAACATGCGCAAACAAAAGGTCTCAATTAGTAATGAATCTGATTGCTCGTTGTCTGACTTGGAACCAAAATAGAAAATTAGACAAAAAGTGGGCGGATATGGTCAAATATTCCCATACAAAGGTATACAGACTGGCTCTTAGATCTACTTGGTATGCATTTGACGACAGGCAGCGTTTAACTCGAACAGTAAAGCTGTTAGCAGCTTTCGCTCTAACGTATCGGCTCTGAGGATAACAAGCATCTTGGCCTCAGTTTTTTATCTCATCAAATCCGTCCTGCAAATGTCTCTTAAAATGTTCAACATGGCCCAGCTGTCATGGCTCCGCTTGGCTGAAAAAAACCTGCAGGAACATAAAAAAGATGGATTGAAAGGCTGCATGTTTTGCTGTGAAATCTCAGTGAGATGATGAGCGCCACCTGTAAACTTTAAAATATCCTGTTTACGTGTTTTTCCTCTGTAATTTAACCTCAGATCAGCAAACATTCCAGCATTTTTGGGGAAACTGTGAAGCTACACCTTCAGTTTAAACTGTCAGCAAAAAGTCGGTGAGGCCTAATCACCGCTGTTTGTTTTTGGTCCAAAGCTTTTCTCTTTTGGGGTTTTACAGGCTTTTTGAGGATGAAAAATGACAAAGCTGACGTGAGGCGTTATGATGATGAATTAACAGGCCTAAAACTTCTTATAATGAATTTCCATCCAAAAGAAAACTTCAGGGAAAGTTTGGCTCATCCTTTCGCTCTGAGTAATGAATGGCTTTTTCCTCATATCTGGAATCTAGACGCAGCAGGTTTGTCCGTTCATTAGCCTCAGAGAGGAAGTCGGTGCAGATCAATCCATCACTTTGTTTTCCCGTTTAGCTCGCTCCTCTCGACAAAAGTAAACATGCAGCATGACGGATAGCCAGCGCCATTGCACAGTGTTGGAACAAAATGCTGCTTTGGACTTAATTAGTGCAACAGATTTTTTAAATTGGCCTAAAAAAAAAACATGACAGATAAAGAGAAAATGTTTCTGACTCTGAAATATCATGCACTCGTGTTTTAATGTGTTTTAATTCTTGTTTAGAAGGTTGTTTAATGGGGCTTTGCTGTTTTCCCTTTAAAATGTGGGCACACAAGTATTCTTTTTCGAATCAGATAGAAGTGAAAACTGCTACAAACTGGTATCTCTATGACATCTGAGTTAGCAGGTTATCATTAATGCATTTAAACTTCAGTTTAACAGAATTAAAATTAAATTTAATGTGTTTCAATATCAGAAAATACTCAAGTCAAGTAAAAAGCCCGTCAGAAGTATTTTGACGGGCTTTTCACTTAACTTCATATCGACGCGTAGAAAAGTGTTTAAATCCTAAATTAGCTGGAGCTGTCTTTGGCCGAAAGCTTTCACAAGCATAGAGAACTTCAGCAAATCCTTCAGCCTCACTCTGGTTACCTTGAAATATATTTACGCTGTGGAGTGGAGCCTAATAAACCAGAGGGAGTACAAGTTCCTGTGATTTCAGCTACCTTTGAAGCCTGTGGACATGCAGAGTTCCCCGGAAACCAGCTGCTGAGCTTTGAATCACAAATCCTGCGCCGACTTTGATTTGTACCCGAGTCAGAGCACCACTTCCGCCGGTAAAAGTGGAAAAAGTGACAGGGGAAACACGGCTGGATGGATTCATCCTCACAGGGGGTCAAATACGAGTGGCCCATGATTATCATCTAGCAAGTGGTTGGAAAAATGTGTTGAAAGAACTTATCGGGAATTGTTTTGCCACAGGCAGAACTCCCCAAAGCTTCAAAGACAGATTAAAAGATTTAAATGGCTGGCTGTGACCCTAATGCCTTTCCTTCGCATCCACAGCGACCTTAAGAGGAGAGTCAGTATTCTCATTGACGGTTCTCTCATCATCGCCCAAGTCAAGCCAGAGGATGCTGGGAAATACACCTGTGCTCCCAGCAACAGCCTGGGCCAGCCGCCGTCTGCCTCGGCCCACCTAACAGTGCAATGTGAGTGTCCCGTCTGTGTTTGTTGCTCTCTGTCTGCTTCACCCGCCTCACACGCATCCACCCGAGCTTTAGGGGACAAATAACCTTTTATGTTCCTCTGTCCTAACCGTTTTCCTTTGTTTGCCAACAATTCTGGAAAAAAGTCAAGCTTTTCAAACCAAAATGTCTTGAACACCAGAATCCTCACACTTAGATTTTAAGAAGTCAGTCTACATAAAACTGATGGAATTCAGTGGAGTAATCATTCATAAATCATCTATAAACTGAAGTTTCTTCCGACAAAAGCCATCTCAGGGCTATTTACCAGAGAAAACTTTGCCTCTTAGTCAGCATTTGGCGACGCACTCAGCGTTAGAAGCAGATTAATGCGCCACCTGTGATTCAGATCACTGAACATGACTAAGTGTTAGGAAGGTTTTAGTCTTTAGTGTCACAAATTGTGGATTAAAAGCATTAATAGGTGGGATTTAAGCGCTTATTTTTATAAAAGATATCCTCTGAATCTTTGCCCTTCTGAATAATGCAGCGCTTGATGTAGATCAAAGTCACAAAAAAGCTTCAGTTGAATAAAGACATGATGTTTTAGGAAGCTAGTTTCAAAACAAACAAAGACCCAAGACCCAAGAAAAGACACAGAGAAAAATCTACTTTTTTTCTTGTTACAACCAGTTAAGAGAAAATGAAAAAGAATGAGCACAAATTGTCTATATCTGCCATTTATTACTGTGGGATAAGTCAAAATAGGTAAATTTACCCACTGGTATCAGCAACGTTTTTTAGCACAAAGTGATGCAAAACATGCCAGACGTAAAAGATTTCTGCGACGTGAACAAAGAGCTTTTTGGGCCCTATGAGAGTCCATTTGAAATTAAAATTGTCACACCTGAAACAAAGTTTAAAATGAAGATGGCACATCATTTAGAGAGCTGCATAAGTCATGAGTCTCTCTGCTCTGAGTTTGTATGTTTTTTCAAAACACTCCTGGTCTGCTCAATATTTTTGGCAGATGCATAAGTCTAGCAGACAGATTAGAAAGCCGAGTTAGCGGCTGCCGTTTTATCAGAGAAAAGTCGGTTGTTGAATGAAATTCTCTCTGATTTGGCTTAAAACATCTAGGATTTCGCTTTTCCGGTGCATGGTGGTGCTAGTAGCCAAACGCCCCTCCTGAGCTTCACGTCTGAAGTGATTTCATGTTAAAGAGAGCTAACGTGCAACTGTGCCAGTACTGATAAACTGGAAGCAGAGTGGTGGACTAATTATGCTAGCTTCTCCACCATTAACAGTGTTCTGTCCCATTCCACTGTTTCTCCTTTGTAATAAGAGTAGAAGTATTTCTTATACATTCAATACAATTGATTTAGGTTTGAAATAAAACCGAAATCGTCCCTATTTGGTGGGATTTTGCACAGAGACTGAACCAAAAGAAGCGGTTTCCAGCCTGTGTTCCGGGCCAGTCCTCGCTCAGATGGCAGGAACGTGGTTTTAACTGATTGGAGACCATATTCAGGAGTGTGCTTTGACAGTTTTGTCTAGTCAAACAAAAAAGTGGATGAAGGAAGAGGTAACAGGACTTTCACCATCTGCCTTTGTTGTGAGACCACAGTCTCCAAAACCATCCTTATGAGAGACTTTAGCTCAAAACTTTTGGTTTATCATGCTCAATACGCCTCCTTTGTGTCTGCCTGACAGGTCTAAAAATCCCTCATTTGTTGAATCGTCAACATATGTATTTTCATATAACTCATAATACTTAAAGAATGGAGGGGAAAGCCCAGCCTCTGCCCACCTGTGCATCCTCTGCACAGCGCAGTGAGTCTGCGCACGCCGCCGCTCTCCAGGCTAACTTGATCCCACCTGTCAGACACTTTAATCCCACCAAAACACCGGCTTCCTTCCTAAAGCACCCAAATAAAATAACTCCCTCTCTGCCGTTCTCATTTGTTCTCCTGTCTGAGCGTTCACTCCTAAGGAGCCCGGCTCTCCCTGCCTGTTTCCATCACGGTGCGCCGCCCCCTCATTCCTCCGCTCTAAAGCTCCGTCACTCACTGCCGGCTCAATTCTGGGAGATGTCTGTCGTAGGGAGAAGCGTGTGGCTTTTTGAGCCGCAGACATTTCGGGGCTTCTCCTTGTGTCCGCTGACGGCTGCGTGCTCGTGGCTCGCGTCTGCGTGTGAACAGATGTCGGCATCACCAGCTGGAGGCGGGAGGGAGACGGGAGAGAAGGGGGGATTACATCATGCTGTAGGACCGGGGACTTTTCTCATCAGACTGCAGGGGGCTCTCTCTTTCAGTCTTTCTGTCACATTATTTTCTCTAATTCTGATCTTTCCCTTTTGTTCCCCCTCTATCAGCTCTCAACAGTTGCTCCTCTTCATTTTTCGCTCACTCCACGCCCCCAACCCTCCTTTTTCTCCTTGAACTGCATGCCAGTGTATAAGTTCCCCAAAGCATCTCGCAGTGTTAAGCAGCGTGGCGTGCGCGATAGGGCTGTCTGAGGGCTATATTTAGAAACCTGGCTGATATTCTGGTCGGTGGAGCCACTGGCGTCGCTCCTCTGGGGGCAGGGAGCTGGCAGGGCGACGGTCTGCTCTTCAGAGCTGAGCTGCTGTCGGTACAAAGTTGCTGTGGGCGACAGTGCGGCTCATTCGACCTCTCCACCTCACAGAGCCGTTTCGCTCACTCGCTCCCCTCCTTTCCTTTCCTCTGTCTCACCACCTCACCCTCGGCTCCTCTCGGCCTTACGTCATCCAGTCGCATCTCTCTTTCTCACCTGTCCTCTTTCCCACGCTCAGCCTCCCTCCATCCATCGCTCTGCTGATAGCTCTCACCCCTCCTCCCCTCACATCCACCTTCTCACATCCATTTTTTTTTCTTCCCAAAATGGGGCTGATTGACTGCATGAAAGCCAATTTTTCCTTCTTCATATAGGACACAGAGGGGAGGAAGAAAAATCACAGTTAATAAAATCTTTTAAGAGCTGTGGACGGTTGAGAGATGAGGACCCAAATGCAGATCAGTGCTGTAGAGCCAGATGGGAAACTTTATTCAAATCAGAGAAAAGAGAAGGACTGCAGAGCAGTGATCACAAGTTAAAACCAGGGAACAAAGGTGAAATGCAAACAACAATCACAGCTCAAGACTTAGAGCCCAAAGGACTGACTATTAAGTACTTCCAGCATCTGAGCTGAACACACTGAGGGGGAACTGATGAGGAGTTGGCTGCAGCTGTGGGTGACTGAGCTGAAGACAGCTGTGGAAGTGGAGCTGGTAACCCAAACAGGGCAACACACATGTTAAACGCAGCACAGATGAGGTGAATCAAAATACCAGCTGACCAGCTACCAAACCCTGCCTGACAGCCCATTTAGAAAAGGTGATTTTCTATTTTGTATGAGGCTTAACATTTGGAGAAGCTCATTCTTTTTTATTAATGGCAAAGTTCATGTTTTGCTAATGACAGTCATGAGGGAAGCAGATGCGTAATATAGATTTTATTCAGATTTCAGGGCTTGAAGTTGAAGTTTAAAGTAATTGTTTCTGAGAAAAATCTCATCAGCATTTAGTCGAAATGAGCTGATGTTCAGGACATTTCCATCAGAGGTTCAGATGGTCCGCAAGGGGAACGATAATCAGCTGCATGTTGACACTGTGCCGGCATGATCTCTGCAGATAGCACCCATCAGACTCTGACTCTTTTACATGACAGCAAATCGGGCCGACACTTGATCCTGCTGCATGTGCTGAGGAGCTCAGGCTCCAACGGGAAAGCTCCCACCGACCGCTTCCATAATCAGCTGTTTTATCGCTTCTCCCTTCTCTGCCGATGACCAGATCCTGCCCGCGTGATGAACATGCCATCTGTCATCTACGTGGCCATTGGTCTGCCAGGATTCATCCGCTGCCCAGTAGATGCCAACCCTCCTGTAACTCTGGTTAAGTGGAAGAAAGACGGCCTCCCCCTGCGGATAGATAAGGTGACTGGCAGCAGCAGCTTCCTCTGTCTTTTTGATGCTACCGCCTGCTAACCTTCAGCCCTGTCCGGGTGGGTTTGTGCCCGCAGTACCCTGGATGGAGCCAGATGGACGACGGGAGCATCCGCGTGGCAGAGGTGACGGAGGACTCTCTGGGCACCTACACCTGCATGCCTTACAATGCCCTGGGCTCCATGGGATGGTCCCCTCCTGCTCCCCTGGTGCTAAAGGTACACGCCGCCATGCAAGTCTCTAGTTCCCACATCAGAGCCGGGGGGAAACCTTTTCTCTTCCCTTGGTCCCCACCGTCAGGATCCTCCGAAATTCTCAGTGGTTCCTGGAGGGGAGTATAGGCAGGAGGCTGGGAGGGAGCTGGTCGTCCCCTGTGAGGCGGAGGGAGACCCCTTTCCCAACATCACATGGAGGAAGGTGAGACACCGTAACAGACTCTGCTTACCGCAATCGTGACACTTCATGAGCCACATATAGTGTTTTTCGTTGGGAAATCCTCTGCTCTGAACACCCTCCCTGAAGGGGGTGCTCAGATATTAATTATCTTAATTATCCTGTTTGTTGACCACTGTGTGATTGTTGGCTGTTTCTGTCTTCAAATTCTGTAATTTAAACCTCAAGTATCATTACAAGCTGATTAAAGGTGTCTCTTTTCTTGAGATTGTCACTGCACCACTAACCCGTCTGCCTCTCTTCCACTGGCTGGCGCTTTGTTTCCTCCTGCCTGGATGGACTTTCAGGTAGGGAAGCCCAGTAAAAGCAAGCACAATGTTCTGCCCCGGGGCAGCTTACAGCTGAAGTCGCTCACAAAGGAGGACCACGGGGAGTGGGAGTGTGTCGCCACCAACGTTGCCACGAGCATCACTGCCAGCACGCATGTCCAAGTCATAGGTACCTTCAATGCGCCTGAATGCACAAACACGCTTTTGAGTTCATGTGACAACTTAGATGCAGACCTGAGAAGAAGCGCCATGGCTGCCTGACCTGAGGTTTACGTGTTTAAGGCAGGAAATGTGTGAGATTCTGAAAGTGTTGTGTCTCAGAATAGTTTTTTTTTTTTTTAACCTTTGAAAGTGCCTTTGAAATGTCGCTTTGTAGTTTTAGCTTTATAGATTTTGACAGCCAATGTTTTCATACATGAAGAGGTTTTTGAGTGATGTGATCATACTTGACAAAATGTGACAGAATCGTCAAATAATTTTCAGAAGCAAGCCGCATTTGATTGTTCAACAGGCACATTTTACTTTGTGTAGCCCTTCTGTGTCTTTATGTATAATATATTACAGTAGCATATTTGGTTTCCTGCAGGAAGGCAGTGATGTGTTTTTGTAATGGGGGAGAGGGAAGACTTGAAAAAGTTTTGTTTACATTGATATGTAAACAGTGAATTGAATCCTACTGCACAGCGCTAATGCTTTGCAACAAATTGAGTTGTGTAAGTGAGCATTAATTAAGTAATTACGGGGGTTTATTATATATTTAGTCAACAGAGATCATCATGGTGACTTTGAGAAGCACATTTTAAAGGAGTCTTTGGGACGCAGGTAGTTGGCAGAAGATAACCGCACAAAGAAATCTGAAATCACTGTAGAATTAGTTGCAACACCTGAGAGGTCGTAAAGCGGGCAGAGACTGGTCTTTCTTTGGCTTCTTGTTCTTCATTGTTCATGCTGACCTCTAAATCTTTCTGGATGGAGGCTGGCCAAATCAGAGGAACACAAAGGCCATTTTTAATGGCCCCACATTGCTCCCCTGTTACTTTTACAGAAGTCCATTGAATAATATGATCCTGTTTCTCGTTTTCTTTAAAAAACTTAATTGCTGCAGGCGAACCATTTTTGGGGAGGCCTACAACACTTGGATGCATTTGGACAACTGATTGTATTATTCATGACATTTAAAATGTTCTTCGCTGCAGCTTGAGGTTACTCTGGGTTAGTGTCAACGTCACTGGGATCGGCTCACAGGGAATTTGTCTGACAAGAAAGATGAGTGACTGCATGGCGTGCCACTGCGGGGACACTCTGACTAATCTGCCCTTTTAACCAGCACTGTCTCCGTGTGCAGGCACAAGCCCCCACGCCCCCACCAGCGTCCACGTGGCGGCCTCCTCCACCTGGGCCAACGTGTCCTGGGAGGCCGGCTATGACGGAGGCTTCCAGCAGACATTCTCAGTCTGGTACGGCCATGTGTGAGTCATCCCAGCATGCTTTGCTTCCTGCTTTTTTCTTCTTTCAATACGTCCTCTGTTGTTTCTGAAAATGTCTTTTTCAGGGTTACGTTCAGAACAGTTGCGAAAACGTAGAGATGGAAAGTACATGGAGATCCAGTGTCAGTGAGTTTCCATCTCTAATCTTGGAATTTTTGGAGGAATGCATTTCAAGAAAAAAAAAGAGGAAAAAAAAGAACATTGCAACTAAACTGAACATGACCCGACGTTCTCTGTCCTGATGCTGCTACTGCTTCTGCTGCTTTGCCAGTGCTTGTTTGGATAAAAGGCCTGGGTTGAAATTAAGACGATGAGTTTAGCCATTACTGGTGCCTGAACCGAACTCAAACTGAGCTAACTTTAGTCAACACGGCCGTCATATCTAAGCTGTGAAAAATGTTAGATTTTCTATGTTTCTGTTATATCTAATCCTTGCTGAGGTTATCTCAAAGTGTAGAGATCTGTTAATCCTGATCACCAAAGGGATCCATGATCCATATTTTGGATGAAGGGTGTATATTAAATCATTCCCAGAAAAAAGATGTAGGAATATTTGCATAAATAAGTGAATTTGGCTTGGAATGTAAAGATAGAAGTGGTCATACGTGTTGTCCCTTTAATCATTTCTTTGCAATTTTAGATTCTAGACAAAAGAAATGTAACTGCTAAACTAAGAAGTGAGTAGCTAAGCTGATTATTCAAAAGTAAGTAGGAGTTGATAAAGCATTCACCAAAAATGTCTTGAATTTTAGAGTATATAATTTTCATTGTAATTTAAGCTGTTTTTTCTTTCTTTTTTCTCTCCTGGAAAGTCAATCAAGATGGAGAGGGTAGCGTTTACCGTGTTTTATTCACGTTAACAGAGTCTTCTCAGTAAAGAAAATGGAGCTGCTGCATGTTGCAGTCAGTAATGTTAAATTACTGTCCTTGAATTTCTCATTGGAGTTAATTACGTTATTATTTGTCCGTCAATGATAAACAATATCTTTGGAAGAGACTCTGCAAAAGACAATGTCCTTATATCAGAATAGCACAAGTAGAAAACACGCGACAGCTATAATTTAGTCAAATAAGTCAAACTGACAGGAAGCCTTTGCATTTTTCAGGTGGCTCATGCCTCTTTTGTCCTGTCACTTGAAAAAGCCTTTTTATATACATTTTTATGGATGGTCCTGTCTAAATAAGCTACCACAGAAACACTTTCTTTGGAAGTGTAAGCTGTGAAAGATTCCTAGCTTTTCAAAGCGGAGCTCTTCAGCTTTCAGACATCAAATGTGTTGAAATAAGACTGAGACTCTGTGGAAAAATGATCTAAATACTGTACCCAGAGAATCTCACACCTTTATCACTACGTGAATTAAAGAAATCATGCCATCAGTTAATTGTTGTGCTGCTAAAACCAGGAGTCTGTTGCATGTGTACAGGTGTCTTTGCTTTGTTGTGGGACGAGGATCATTCAGTGCTGAATGTGTGGCATGGCAAACAGCAAACTGCAAAGCTGAGCACAGCATCCATGTTGTGAGCAATCAGAAATGTCTAACGGCAGAATGATGTGATGCTGGATCAGGAATGGAGCTTAAATAAAAAATCCTCCGTGATGTCGTCATTGATATATGTGTAACTGTGTGACATTTCAAAGACAAAAGGGGATTCCTTTAAAGTTGCTAAATGTTGGGATCTTTTTTGCCTAAAGTGCATACGTCCGGGCAGCTCCATAATTACATCCCCTCCTCCTGAGCCATCTTTGAGGTCTGTCCTGTTACTCCACTCACCTTTCACCTTAACTCCTGTGCAGGCTGAAGAGGGAGCGCTTAGGTCCACATGACTGGCTTTCCATGCCTGTGCCTGGAGGACACGACTGGATGGTGGTGCCTGGGTTGGAGCCAGAGACAACATACCAGTTTAGTGTCCTGGCCCAAAACAAGCTTGGCAAAGGCCCCTTCAGCGAGGTTGTCACTGTGAACACACTAGGTGAGTGTACTGGCCTCTGCTCAGAAATAGAGGATCTAGTTTGACAAATAAATGAAGGCTCAGCTGATTTCAAATCCAGCTGGTTGCATTCTTTCCTCATTTGTCGATCCAGCCACCGCTCTTCAGGTTACTGCTGAAAATATGACTTTTCGCTACCGTTGTAAGGCAATCCTTTCTAAAAGATCTGTGCTGTAAGTGGAGTAAATATTGCACTTCTGAGCTCCGAAAAAAGCCAAACAACACTTATCTGCTGGAGAGCAGCTTCTGTAATATTTCACAGGACTCATTTACAAATGCTATTACCATGCGTCATTGGTGATTCACCCAGTAGTCAACAGCTGGAAGTACTGATATAAGTGCATTGAGAAAACATTGAGGACACATTTCTACCCAGTGTCCAGCTTACAGTGAGAGGACACATTGAGCTCAAAGAGAAAAAAAAATATCTACACATACATATATAGATCAGATTTCTGGAGTCAGTTTAAACTACACATGCGAGATAGTAAAAACTCTAGAAAAATGGATGTTTTTGATCTATTATTTAGTTCATACACACTTTTTTTGCTAGAAAAAAATATGTTTTTATACGTTAAATAAAATAGCTAATAATGGTAATGAGTTATTTCATTTGGTTTTATCTGAATAACAAGGCCTAAACTACCTTGGAGCCGTGACAAAAGGGAAGTTTCTGTTGCCTAATCTAAGTGTAAATTAAGCTGTCACAGGTTATTACAGGGGGACAAGTGACATGCTGAAAATTGACATAACTACCTTCTGTGCATCACCTTCTGTGTCATCCGAGGAGAAGAAACAAAGGAGGCACAGCTTTTAGCCACAGGGCTGCCCCCGGTTTGACAGCCCTCCAGGTCTTTTATCACACGTTTCCAAGTCAAACATGCCACCACGTACCATGAAACTCAGTTCTATTTATGGAAAGTCACAAAAGAAGATGAGCTAGGAACCATTTTAACAGCTCTCACATCAATGTGTGAAATAAACCCGCTGCATGCTGCAGCCGTGGTACATAACATACTGCCTCATGGTTTCGATGTAGATGGGAAGTCAGTTAGCAGCTTTATGGTTATGGACACATAAATCAGCCTGAACTCATCTGAGGATCTATTTCCCCTGAGCAGCTGGTCGTTTGAAGGCTAAAACTCGGTGTATTACGTAATTATAGGCAAATCTGAGCAAATACGAGTGTTTTTAGTTTTATCTTCAGTCTGTGATCGGTTGGTATTAGACAAAAGGCTTCTTTGTAATGAAAAAAACATGATTAGGTTAAGAACCAGTTTGGTTTTAAACAGGTTTGTCATTTTGTGGAATAGTGGATCTTGAAAACAAATTTTCTCCCCACTTGCACGTATATTTATCTTTTGATAAGCAAGTTCTATAGCTCTATATTTTTCAGCTGAAGAAAGCAAAATGTAGAAAAACTTTACAAAATTTTGAACAGCGCTTGAGAATACGTATATACATATTATTTCTATTCATTTATTTATATATAAATCTTAAATGTATATATATAAATACTGGGGATTTTCCTCTAGAGAGCTTATTGTCAGATTGATGTTAACTGTAACATTGTGTTTACTTTGTAAGTCGCTTTGGATAAAAGCATCTGCTGATGCATAAACATAAACACATTATAATTAAAAGTACATAGTAATATTTATGTAGTATATAGTAATATATAAGTACTACCAAGTACATATTAATGTATGAATTGCTTTTCTTTTCTTTTTAAAAGAAATGTATTTCTCATTATGACATTTAAGCCCAAACCCTGAAGCTAAAATGACCAGAGCGTACACATATCTAATTCATTAAGAGTAGAAGATTAGAAGATATGCTGTCGGAGAAGCTATGAAAGTGGGAAGTACTTCAGCCTACCCGCCAGACCATGTCAGCCAGGGAGCTGGAATTTGTTAAATTAGTTGTGGAGGAAGAGCTTGTAAAATGAAATCTTTATGAAAAGGCCTCAAAGGATGTGAAGCTTCAAAGATGGAAGTTTTCAGGGGTGAGTCTCGCACATGATGGCGATGGCTTAAAAACTTAATGAGAGTTAGTCAGACCGTCGTGTTGCTGTCAGTCAGCGTTTGAAGGGGGGCTGATTCGCTGATGGGGGGCTGATTTAGGGCAGCACGGCTGTATTGCTCACTCTGTCCCAACCCTGCTGTGCTCTCTCAGTATTTCCTATAAGTACCCCTGAACCATTGGTGCTGCTTACCCCACCACGGTGCCTCACAGCCAATCGCACGCAGCAAGGAGTCCTGCTCACCTGGATCCCACCTGCCAATCACACAGCACCTGTCCAGCATTATGTAATGGAGTTTCGTCTGGGAGAACGATGGGAGATCTTGGACGACGGCATTCCTCCCGGGGAGTTGGAGCTGCTCGCCCGAGACCTCATTCAGGTAAAAGGTGCACCTGGAATTAGCAGTTTTAAGCGGGATTTACATTATCTTTTCCAAGAGTCCAACCAACCTGAGGATCTGCTCTCCATGTGGAGATGTTGAAATGTACTTAATTCTCTGGTAGAAATGCAAATCAACAAAAACAAACAAGCCCGACTTGCGTCAGTATGTGAAGAAAGTCCAAAACTAGCTTTATCTTGTTTCCCAGATCCAATTTGTACTGCTTTATTAGCCTCTCAGTGCAGGAAAATGAAGGAACAAAAGTTCAAAAGGAACATGAAATGACAGGAATAAAGCACATATAGGAATAAGTAACCCCCCCTGCCCCCAGCTTTCGTGTCAATTAGCACAAAAGGCAGAGGTTTGCGATGTATAACACAACATAATGAATTCTCCACCTGTGTGAGATGCATAGCCTCTAAATAGTCTCTGCAGAAGAATAAATGTATATTTAGTCTCGGTTGTTTCTCTGTAATCTTGTCTTGGAGTCGCTGCTTCTCTGCTGTCACATCCACTTCGTGGTTGTCATAGAGACAGTGCAGGTGTGCACACACCGGCTGGGCTGACTTTCGGACTCAGTGTTTTTTTTTTCTTTGACTCGTTCCACGTCGTTCTGGGTCCAGATTGGACTTCTGCTGCTGGGCCGAGCAGGTGTGTCTTCACGTCTGTGACCGCGCTCAGACACAAAGCTCAGACATGAAACTCGGGCCCTTTTGAACACTGCTGACTTTTGTCAATGCGGGGCCGCTTCCTCCAGCCGCCTGCTCTGCAGCCAGAGAGCCCTAAGAAAACTTATGGGCTCCGACGCGATACTCCTCTTCCTCAGCTTCTCGGATACATTTCCTGCCGGCTAATTCGCCCGCAGTGACACGTCTGAACATCTTTCTTTAATCTCCCTACAATTTCAGCTCCACGGGAAAAAAAAAAGGCTTTTATCTCTCCTCGCGCTGCACGCCAACACCCACACACACTCGCTTCTCTCTGCGCTCTCTCACACACACGCATTACACCTAGATTGTGTAACTTTCCTGCTGCAGATTTCTCACTTCATGGTTGAGGTCACGTGACCGCATGTGGCTGCGCTTGGTGGTCTGCATACGACCTCAATCTTACGGTAGGGGCCACAGAAATCAGTCGAGCCACATATGCTGTGGGGGTGTCGAACCCCAGTCCGACAGTCCAAGGGCCATGATTCTGGTTAAAGGAGTCTCTTTTAAGCATTACTATGCTCTGCGCCCGCCTGCCAAAGGTGCCTTGATCTGAATCAAGTGTGTTGAAGCAGGGAAACATCTAAAACCTGCGGGCCAGCCAGAGTTTGACCCCTGAGTAGTAGGCTGATGTGGATTTGCCGGGTCAGCACATGTTGAGTGTGATACTGACTCGTTTCTGACTGTTTTCCAAAGGTGGGCATTTTCCTCTGTTTTCTCATTAACATCTCAATTTAAACCAAAGTCTGTTCAGTGTTTGAAATGTAAGTTGGAGGGGCTTATTCTGCTGCATCTGGGGCCAAACTCGCCTGATCAGAACATTTAGTTTTTTGTCCAAAGACAGCAGGATACCTCCCCGTCTTCCTCAGCTCGATCTATTTAAGACAAAACCCTGACGTTTATTTTGAACGTTTTCATTTTCTCCTCTCTTCCAGGAGGCGTGGTATGAGTTTCGTGTCATGGCCGTGATGGACGACATGATCAGTGAGCCCAGTAATGTGGTTGGAGTGTCCAGCACAGGTGAGCTTTTCATGATGCAATGCCCTCCAGTTTCATGTTTCCAAATAACAACCATCTGTAGAGAATTCAGGTACGTCTAATCGCAGGCTAAGAGCAGAGCGAGCGTTCAGGGCTGCTCCCGGATTCATCCCGACAGCCTCTGGCTGCCTCCTGCATGTCTAACCTCAGGCTGTCTTATCCTCTCTGAGCTGAACGGGGGGTCTGCTGTAGCTGTATTGCACACGCAGCAACTCCAACTTTACATTTTGCTCGCTCAGCACAATTAAATTTAAGCTCAATTTACATTCACTCGCCTTGGAAGCCTTCAGAAAAGTATGACATCATCGTTTTGGTCAGCTCCCCCTGACCGAATGGGGGATGTTTTATGCTAAAATTAAAGCGAAAAAAAGGTAAATGAAATCTTTCCCTTTTTTTGGACGCTGGAAATAAGCCTCTCAAAATGTGCTGTCGCTCCCGCCTTGCAGAGGTCACTGAGTACATGTCGTTTGATAAAAGCAGCTGTTGGGAGCAATTAGAGCACCGGCTGAGGAAGCGCTCCGCTGCCCCCCTCTGGTGAAGCCCCGCACTGCTGCTGTGTGGGGATCAAAGGCTCATTTCTCGCTTCATTTTGCCTTCATTTGCCTGCTTTCTGTGTACATTGTCCACGGTCATAATTAGAATGGGCCCCATCCTTTTTAAAGCCGACCGAGGCGTTCCGCCGCTGAGCAGCCCTTCGTTCAGGCCCCAGATTGCTTTTAGCTTTAATTCTCTGCAGCACAAACATCACTTCAACAAGATCACACAGAGGCTGAGACGATCGTCCCCCGGTGACCGCTGAGGGTTTCGCCCGCATGTAGGCCACAAACAAACCCCCACATCAGTATTTGAGGACAGTTGTTGAAGCTGGTGGCTGAGCGGCTAAAACACTGACCTCTGGTTTCCATCAGTGTGAATGCTGCACTGTTTGTACAGCCATCCATGTTTGAAAGTTCTAGAAAAAGAGTGAATTTGGAAGGATTCAGCAGCCCAGATGATCACGTTTATCTGTTCAGCCTCTGGGAAACAACACACAGGTTGTGAGTCTTTTTGTGTGCATCATTTGGATAAACACTGACAACAATATCAGATTATTTCACACTGTTTGCGACATTAGAAAGAGACAAACAAACTTTGAAGCCAAAGCCATTACAGAGAAGTTGTGGGTGACATTCAGCCCTAGAGGACAGCTGATATTTGTCCAGCGGGGCTCTGTCCTTTTTTGTTTTACAGACTTTGGCTTACAACGCTCTGGAGTTTATGACTAACCCTAACACTCAAAAACAATATATACCGTCCTCACCAAGCGTCCTGTGTCAATTAATCTCTAAATGTCAGGCAGCACAACAATAGTGAAGGCTGATTCAAAGTTTCTTGCCTTTACTAATTAGTAACAAACAGATCAAAATTTTAAGTGTAACTTGTAAAGTCATGGGGGTTATTTATGAGCCCATCAATGCTGGAGTATACAAGCCAATAGACTTCTATTTTTTTCTGTGGATGTGAAAATAAGAAATATTGAAGACAATTGTGGGATTTGTGATTCAGCCTGTGGAGTTCAATATTTAATACCTGCCTAATCGGGGCACGGAGTGCTTACACAGGGTACAGGGAGCTCCTTTCCATGGGGACCCACATCTGAAAGGTAATCTCACAGCAAATATCAGCCCTCATTTGGGAGCAGGAGCATGAATGTTTATCCTGAGGAATGAAACTTCACAGTGTTTCATCTCTGTGGTCCTTTAACAAACCATCATCTGTCACTCTGTGCTTTCACAGACCCCCCTCCACCATCAGGGGGAACTTTAAACCCTAATCTTGGGCTCTCACTTTGCAGACTTCTTCCCGCCTCCAGAGTTGGTGGAGGAGCGTGGACTGACTCGGCCCGTGGTGGCTGGCATCGTGGCCACCATCTGCTTCCTTGCAGCGGCCGTGCTCTTCAGCACGATGGCCGCCTGCTTCGTCAACAAGCAGCGCAGGAAAAAACTCAAGAGGAAACGAGGTGAGAAAATGTCTTCCGGCTCCACAAAGTCACAAACATCACAACAGCAAAGCCTCTGTGGAATCCCTCTCACTGCCAACAGTTCTGCTCCTGTTTATTCTGGATCTATTCTTTTTTACATAAAGAGAGAGAAATTGATAAGAGATCAAGTTTGATTTAAAACAAACCTGGAGACGCTTCATCACATAGTCAGAGTTTCTTTGAATTCTGGATTCTATTGCATTAGCTTAGAGGTTGTTCTTTAGAAAAGGAAAAGTAATAAAACCCCAGGTATCAAACTTAAACCTGCATTTTCCTGCAGAAGAAGTCCAGCTGCTGTGACACAATTAAATTTTTAGACGCCTGTTTTTAGTAATAAAATAAGTTATATTACCACTAAAAAGATAAGGAGGAAAAACTACAAAGCAGAACCTGATGTACCAAACAGCTGTGTTGTGTTACCTGAACCATAAAACCTTAAGCCTGACCTCGGCTAAGTCACTGGGCTTTTATTGAGTTCAATCTATTTTCTGTAGCACTTAAACTAAAAGGTAGAACAACTCATACTGAGTCAGAAGACACCTCCACCAGAACCAGAACCAGGAGGAGACCTCCACCAGAACAAGAACCAGGGAGGGACCTCCATTAGAACCAAAACAAGGAAGAAACCTCCACCAGAACCAGGAAGAGACCTCCACCAGGAAAACCTTCTGACGGAGAGAAACACCACTTAATGTTCATGATTGTTGTCACTCGGTTTAAAACATTTCCCCGGAAGATCTACTCAGTTCCTCTCGTCTTTGTATCATTGTAACACACCAAAACCTTTTTTCTTACTATGAAAGTTTTGATGGCTGACGGCGTATTCTGTCTTGTCTCCCTCCCGCAGACCCCCCTCTTTCCATAACCCACTGCAGGAAAAGCCTGGAGACTCCGTAAGTATCCCTGAAAACAAAGTCTTTACATAACTGCTACTGTTCAGGAACATCACTTTAAACAAATACCTTTTTATGCCTTAAACTGTTATCAATGCTTCATGGCCTAAAAAGTTCTCGGCAGCTAAAACTCTGTAATCTGTTGGGAAATCCTCTGCCGGCTCCTCCCGTGCGCAGTGGCACACTGATATGAGCAGAATGAGCTGGGCAGCACATCCACCCAGAAAAAGCTGTGGTTGTGTTTTTTTGAGCTTCATTCAGAAAACGTGATGAAAAAAAGGAGTCTTTCACCCATCAGCTAGTGGACACCCTGCGTTTGGGGGACACTTTTTTGATTTCATGTTAATTTTTCTTATTTGTAGTCTGTTCAGATCTGCTTTTTAATGCAAAACGGGCATGTGCTTGTTCTTCTATTAAACTCCAGATGCTAAAGAAATAACAGCAAGATAAGCCAAATGCTTTGCGTAAATGTGCCTCCAAAGGTCTGAAGTTTGTACAAAACAACTGGAGGGATGTTAAGTCTGTCTTAAGTTAGAATTAAAGATTCATCGGCCCCAAATATGAAGGTCTAATTGAATAAATGTCCTGTTTTCAACCATGTACATTATTATCTTGAAAGAATTGTAATTAACTGATTGTTGAACTTATTACCGTATTAGGGCTGCAGTTGGGTTTTACAAATGAGAAAATAGATCTACCCTCCTGCAAAGCAAAGCTACAGACACATATTTGGTATTTTTGGTGATTTGTGTGTCTGTTTTTGGGACTTTTGCTGACAGTGAGCCTTTGAACAGAATCCACTCACCTGTCTTCTTAACCCATTTTAAAACCTGAAATCTGTCCCAGAGGCCGGGTACACCCTGGAAAAGTCACCAGTCCAGACGCTGAGTTCAATCATCATCATCAAACCTTGCAACACAAGCAGTTAAGCAGAACTTCCTCACTTGAATCAGGTGTATTGGAGCAGGGAAACATCTCAAACAAGCAGGGTGGGGGCCCCAAGGGACCAGATGATTGTCGTATTTGTTCTTTGGGTTGCATTTAATGATGTGAACAAAACAACTGCATGTTTTTGATGGGGAGAGTTGGTGTTGTAAATAACTTTGAAGCCGGCTGGAGAATGTCACATGTGACAAAGGTGCTTTTCATCTATGATAAAGTATCATCCATTTTCTGTACTGGCTTGTTCTCAGTAGGGTCGGGGTGTCCAGTACATTTCAGGGCCACACAGAGAATCTCATACCCACTTCGAGGATCAATTTAGAGTCTTTAAATAACCTAACATGCACGTATTTGGACTGAAGGAGGAAGCCGGAGCATCCTGATGTAAAAATACATTAGTGTGTTCATGAGTTTGAGAGATATTCAGTTAGATAGTCAAAAATCAAGAAATAAAAACAGAGGAACCATGTGTGCAGATTTAATTTAGATCATTTTATTCAGACTGTACTCGAGATTTAAATTCAAACTGATCTTGATCAGTTGAAGTTTAATTTACCCCCATATTCATACATTTCTATGAATGACAACAGGAGGACTGCAACCGGGGTCCAAGTCCTAGTTAAAACAGTTTAAATGAGGTCAGCTGTTAACCAGCAAGAACTCAAACCCGAACCCCAAAAACTGTCATCACGCATCCATGAAGGTGGGATTGTTTTCCTTTATAAGTTTAATACTAAAAGATAGGGTGCTCCTTACTTTGGTTTTTGGTGGTTTTGCTGTTTTCTCCGACCCACTTAACAGATCCAGCTTCCCTCTCTTATTCCTCGCCTTATTCAGTGGCAGCTTTCCTTTTAATCTCCATGTCCTTCCCGCTCTTTATTCTCTCTGATTTCCCTCCTTCTGCAGGAGATCTCTTAGTTTCTTTGCCAGCGTTGAGCCCTACTGGGAAGGGCTGGACGCAAGGTACACGCAGCGACCTTCCAGTCCTCAGTGAGTGTGCCAGCCGTTGTCCCCTGATCTTGCACATTGAACGCACCCCTTTGCACTTTGTCTCAGCTCCTCAAACTCCTGACCTCTCTGCATGCTTCTGGCCAAATGTCCCAGGTGACAATAATCCTGGCCGTGCTCTTTAATTCATAAACGATGAAGAGTCCCGATCTGCATTTTGGACTTCTTGTTCATGTGTTTCTGAGTAAATCACTAGTATCATTATCATTTGAGGGATTATTACTCTGTATGATCTGGCAGTGTTTTAATGATCTCTTTTCTCTTGTACTCAGAGCTGAAGCAGAATTTAAACCACTTTTGGTCTTAATGCTATGCTAACATTTCTCCATGGCTGAACTTTAGATGTCAAAACATGCTTCATCTGAGTGGTATTCTATAATTTACTCTGACGGGGAAATAAAGACTGTGGAGCTCTCACTGAGTGGTAGAAATGAGGATTTATTGAACACTGAGTGAGAAGCAGCACATGAAGAGGATCTGAGGGTAGAATCGTTGTTTTGGAGTAATGAATTCATCTCTGGGGCGTGCTGTCTGTCACTATTATGGACAGCCTCACTTCCAAAAGCATTTAGATGCTGAATGAAATGTTGATGATTTACAGCGGCTATCTATCTATCTATCTATCTATCTATCTATCTATCTATCTATCTA